TGCGTTTGTGGTTTTCCAGGTTTTATTGGTGTTCTTACGAACTCAAGGGTTCCAAGTTTAATGTTTTGAATATTTTCTCCTCGACCGTGTTATACTTCAGGATATTATTGATTGCTGATTACACACCAACGAGCGACTTAGATGTCAGTATGGCGTCGTACACACAACGTTCCAAACGTAGAAGGAAGCTGGATTGTCTTGACGTAAGTTTTTTTTTGCGCTGGAATTGTACCATCTGCAAACTTCTTTTGATAAACATGTCTGTTTTTCGATTGTTTTCGACATGAACCTTGCTGAAGGAGTGGACTACAACGATCGTCCCCATTACATTGTTTCATGTCTTTCTGTGGCATTCGAAATGATATCACGATGGCGGCATCGCATCGAACCTCACAGACTTACAACCATGGCATCTAAGCTCTGGGCTTTCAGAGAACATATCAAATTGTACGGCGAGGTTATTTTTGATTGGTTGCCTTGCATTTCCTTTTTATATCATTCGCAAACTTAAGAGACTATCAGAAATATGTCTACTGCCGGTTACTTGACTTGTTCCTTCGAGAAGGGCTCTTTGATAAGTTGTGCAGCGATGAGAAAGAGGTGAGAATGTCCATTCAGACAGTAGCATATGGACTGTAGCTTTCCAACGCTTCATCTGATTCACTGGATAAAGTCAGTATTTTGAGACCATCAAATGCTTTTGGAAGTTTGCCTTATCTTTGGTCCATGTACAAGGTGTTTTCGAGCCGGCATCGTCGCTAATGCTTTCCCTCATTAAGAAGTATCGATCGGTGAGCGAGTTCTTTTCATAGGTAAAGCTAGTATTTTGATAATTATTGGTGTACTGCAGGTTGTGTTCATCAGAAACTAGTTATCTTTAGGAACTAGGAGATGACGAAGATCTCGTAGATATCATTTGTGATATCCTATCGCGAACTTCAATACATCACGGGGCAGTTATTTACAAGCTGGTCATGTTTCTCGTTACTGAATTCGAGTTCGATGAAATGAAACCCTTTACTGGAGTCGTCGACAAGAAAAAGGGCCTTAAGGAGTGGAGGTCTGTTCGAGTTGGTCTCATGCACATCTTAATCGATCTACCAGGCTGTCAGCTTTTAGATTCCGCTGTCAAGTGGCAGAGTGGCTCGTGTTTCGTCTCGAACCTGAAGGGAATATAGGTCTATTGCTGTTTTCGTTGGCTTCTCTTCATCCAGCTGCAGCTCTTGAATCTTCCACTATTCCAAGCAAATGTAAGCTGTTTTT